GCAGAGAAGAAAACTCATTGGAATACACACAGTTGGAAGAACAAAGATTATTATTGCGTTGTGAGAGCTTGCTTTATGAAATCCAATAGAAAACAATTAAATACGAGAAGGCTCAGGGGGTATTAATACTTATGTGCTGCATCCATCCAATTACATCATCTGCTCCTACTTCTCTTTAAAAAAATAATAATTTTCCATTTGTCAGCAGCAGAGTTCGTCACTATGGCAACAAAAACTATCTCTCGGCTTTAAAGGCTCTCTTCCAACAACAAAGTGGCAAAAACAGGCATCACCAAAGAGAAGCAGTCATTGTCTATGCTTGTGGATGCAACTTAAGCATGCCAGGGTTTTAACACAGGGTAGTCAGCGCTGCTCACCAACCAGAAAATCTGCAGTGTGCTCTCCTAAAAATACACTTCAGTTTGACTGGACACAGAAGATCAAGAGTCTAAATGGTTGAAACATGAAGCAACGAGATGGAAAAAGACTACTTATTTTATTTTACAGTGATGTCCATACCTGTGGTGAAGATTTGTATAAAAAAATATTTAAATAAAATTTTCTCCAGTCAGTGGAGGAAAAAAAAAAATCCTACATAAAGAAATTATTTTTTCCTACCAGTTTTGAAATAGTCCTGCTGTTTGTGGTCTTACTCTGTAAAACCTTTGACTGCTTGCTTTGCACCATCGCTCTAGATACGACTGTCCAAAGAGATGTACAGGTAGTTTGTGCAGAGGAAGATTATTTTTCCTTATCTTCAATTATAGAAGATTTTTGCTGAAATATTGAAACGCTAAAAGTATTTTAAATCAACCATAAAGGACTCCAAGTATTCAGTGACATCTACCTAAAGAACATCCATCTTGTCAAACTATAGTTAATGTTTAACTAGAAAGTGACCCAAACCCTGTTGTTGTTGTTGTTTCGACTAAGAATTAAATATTGTCTTTTATGGTACCTGAACTCAATACAATGGTTTATAGATCTCTGTCTCTCAAAATTGACCAATTTATTCAATTCATTAAATGTATTAAAGGTATTTGAAAGATTTTATTCTGTACACTCTAAAAAGTTACCTAAAGGCTCTGGAAAAGAAACAGGCCCCCAGCATCACACTTCATCTCCTATGCAATGGCTGAAACACTAGATCCGTCTGAAGTGTTTGTTACTGAAAAATTCAATTTTAGTCTCTTCTGACTAAAACACATTGTTCTAGATATGTCCCAGCAAATATAAGCAAACTCCAAAATGTTCCCATTCATGTTGGCAGGACAGAGAAAAAGCCTTTTCAACATCTACTTGGTTCAGTCTTTACTGTATGTGCTAACTCCATAAACCTTTGAGCTGAATTTCTACTTGTTAAAGTTGAAAGTTTTTAAGTCTATTTCCTAAGAAAAAAGGGTATTTCAACAAATATATGTTTTTTTTATAAGTTGCGGTGATATTGCTCCATTTTGAAGAGGAATAAGGAACTTAAAGTCAGATTTCATCAGAATAAAATTGTTTTTAGTCAATTATTATTTAACTAAGAGTAAAATATTTTTAACAGAACTTTCTTGCTGAAAGTTGTTAATTAGTATGAGGAGGTAAAATCATTCTCCCAAGTCAATAAAGACACTGAAACTTTGTAGAGGGACTCTATACATATTTTCCTGTAATCAACAGACACATTCTAAAATATCCTCTTAAGATCAGAAATAGGGATTTTTTTTAACCTTATGTTCCCTAAAAAAAAAGAACTTTAAGCCATCCTGGCAGCTTTAAATTGCATCACTGAGTTATTTAAACTAAATTAAACTGGGACTTTATAGCTACGAGTCCCATGCAGAGATTTCCTCATGTTAACGTCATTATAAAGCAATTTATTACGCCGCTGTGCTCTGTATCCTCAGTGAACACATTAAGTGTGAATTAAACCTTGTAAATTCAGTCTGTGCCTTAAGAAAGATTAGCTCTAAAACTACATCATAGAAAAATGACAATTCTTAACCTGAGCGATTTTTTTTTAAGACAAATTTGATGAAATCTCAGTTACCCAATTTGTGCCTTAATATCAACATTAATAGTTAACATAGGGCTGATTTTATAAGGACAGAAATTGTGTTTTAAGCAGATGGTGAGTTTTTATGTATTCATTTTTTAAATAAACTCATCAGTTGTCACATACACTTTTCATTAAACTGTGTGTGTCACTTCAAGGCCTCGGGGTTGAGGTTTAAAATGAAAACAGCCACAAATCTTTCCCTGGTTGCATTAATGAGGCAAGCGTTGTTGTTGTAAACCTAATCAGGCCTCTGCTAACCGCTCAATCTATTTGTCCAATGACCTGCAGCTTGTTTTTGTATACCTTTATTGACTAATACCTTTAATGGCTAATATTATCTCTGTTCACCCATTTAGACTGTTTTGGGTGACTGTCAGATGCTGATATGACTGCCATTTTTCGTTTCTAATGGAACTGAATGGTACTTCTCCAAATAATGCCCAAAAAGGCAGAGCAATTTTTCTGTCCTGCAATCATTCTGTTATCACATATAACAACATATGTTGCTCTTTTCTCTTTCAGTTAAATCAAATACATTACATCCTTACAGTACATAGAAATTCATCAAACTAATTTCTTGTCTTGTATAATTGTATTATTTTGGTTTTTCACATTTGAGCTGCAAAGAATTTACAATTTAGTTTATTTATTGTTAAGACATGTAGAACCTGCAAAACTGGGAAGATAGAGAGGCAGTTTTAGTCTCTAAACAATACTGTACCTTCCAGCATTTTTGTCACACTTAACTGAGTTTATTTAAGAGATATAGCCTGATAACCTGTTCTAGTGCAAGATGTCAGAAATGACTAAGCAGCAAGCTTCCAGTTACGTCCGATTTAGGCCTGTTTTGTGATAACCTGAGAAAACAACCTGAAATTTCAAGACTATTTTCTTTTATGAGGAGAAGTCCATGCAGATCATTCTGGGTCTATGGGGAAAATTATTGCGAAATTAAAGATGCACAGCTTAGAAAAGGTTCTATCTGTATCAGTCCACAGGATATTTCCAGAACACATCTAGACAATCATAATCTTTTTTAAAGTCATGGAAAGAAAATACAAGATGAACTTCTTTTAAGTAGTTTATCTTTGCAGCAAGGGATTAAATTTTTTCATGACTATGTGTTTTGATATTTCTCTTTGAACAGATCTATAAAGGTGTAATATGAAGTAGATATAGCCTCACATATTTTGGTTCAGTAGTCATATCTTCAAGCTCTCCCATGGGTGCGTCATAGGAGTCATTTTGGTAAGTTGCAGGGAAGGTTCCCTACTGTTCCATGATTTCCCCATTGTTGCTCTGACTGTGGCTTGCTAAAGTCCAACAGCTTAAGAAATACATAGCTTTTCTTGGGGTCTCATTTTACAAGCTTGCATATGCAAAAAAAGGTGGAGGGAGAGAATTGCAGCCACACTAAGTCTTCTCTGTGTGCCGGACTTCTGAAAACCTGACATTCTTAGTTTCCAGCTAAACAAACTTTAAAAGTTGCAGCCCGCCATTGTCCTGGTGAAACCATTTTATGTTTGGTGGGGAGAGTTCAAATGGCCCCTTATTTAAAGAAAACATATTACATATACCTAATAAATATGTTTTTGTATATATGTATATGTATATACACGTATATATATATACTAATCTATGATTCGGGGAGAAAACTTATTATCACAGAGTTACAGTAGATTGATTTGGTTCCCGTTTTCCTTTAATTAAATTAAGATTAATATATATAAAAAAATTTTATTATATTGGATCATTTTTGTGTGATAATAAAATTGAGTTGGAGATTTAAAACATACCCATCTCTTCCACTTCTGTATGTGCAAAACTCTTAACCACAGATTTTCTCCAGGCACCTGTTGGCTCTAAAGTGTGTAACAAAGGTTTATATTCATATTACTGTTTTTTATGTTGGGGTCCTCCATCATATAAAAAAGGTGACAGTAATGAGAGCAAAATATTTGTTATTACTACAAATATCTGGAACTGGACGAAACAGCAGCAGAAAACAAAGGGTAATCAAAATTAAATCCTGCCGTTTTCTATTTCAGCACAGTAGGTAACCAGAAAGAGAAATCCCAAAAGAATGTAGCACACCAAATGATCCAGATGTTGCTTCAACTAGATTGGTTTTCTTCCTGCTTTGAAAACATAGAGCATTATTTAAGGGAAGAAAGAAGAAAATGCAAAGTAAATACATCTAGACAATAACAAAGGATGTTTCCTCTCACCTTTTTTTTGTCCCCAATGTAAAAATAACACACACATTTTACATTATCTGTTAAATTATCGTGAATGACCACTTTACTACCACTTAGTTAAAATTTCCTGAGGGATGGTTGTGTTGACTTGGATTTTGTAAATGAAGGTTCACTAACAACAGCAGATGATGTGGTTTCCCAAACAAAACCATCATACACAACATTCACCTATGTGAATTTTTTGCCTCTTCACTTTTCCCTCTGATCAATTGGATATCAAAAAAGAAAAACATTTAGTTCCTTAATGAATTCATGTGTGGAATCTGACCACAGTCCACTCCCTGTCCCTCTCATCATGGCTCCATGTTGCCTATGTGCATTTCCCTGCATTAACTTTAAATAAATATGCTTGCGTACAACACTCTGTAAACAGCGAGCTTCTGTAGCAATGACCTTTTTTGGCCCAATCCTCCTCGCATCAATGACTGCTGATTAGAGAAATGTCAAGCTGACATCCATCTCAATGATTGTTGTAATAACTTCTTATCTATATCTTTTATGGCATATTCTGGTCTTCAGCGTTATCTAATCTCTCCCCTTGTGCAATCATTCCTTTATTCAGTACTGCCATCCTCTGTATGTAAATGAGTACAATCCAGCTGCAAACCAGGGAAATAAAAAATCTAGATCTCATCCAGAGCAGAGCAACTGAAAAGGGAACAAAAGCTAAGAGCATGCTGGCATTATATAGTACTCACTGTGAACATGAGCTGGCATCCTCCCAGTATGTAATCCAGAAAGGTGTAATCGTGGGCAATCTGAAATAAGAGGAGGAAACAGATTTATTTAAAAAAAAAATGTTCTCTTAACTTGTGACAAAGATGTGGTTTCTCTTTTGATGCAAAGCTTCATTCTGTGTTAAAATCTAATTTCAATAAAATAAAATAAAATATTGTTTTGAGCTTAAGTCCCACCCCAGTAACAACAAAAGCTCCCCCTGGTTTCACCATTATCACTCCAATCATTGCTGAAGGCAGTAAATAATATCACTATATTAGCATATTTCTTCATTTGTTGTGGTTTTTTTAAACAAATCCTTGTTCATGATTAAAACAGCCAGGGTAAAGGAAAATATTCAATTATAAGAGCCTGTCATGCAAACAGCTTTAATGCTGTTTTAATAGGCAGCTGAAGACTTCATGTTTCAGCTTTGTGTGTCGTCTGCGGCACTTCGAGCTGCGGCTCTAATTAGTTATTGGCAGGCAGGTTTATGACGTGTGAAGATTGGGGCAAGCATGTGTGTAAAAAGTAAAATAAATGAATTTTTTAGGCAATATTTTTCCTCAAGGCTCTATTGTTTCAGTTCATCTAAAGATTAACATTTTAACATTATATTAAGATAAGGTTAAATAAAGATTTTATTTGGTATACATATTTCCTATATATTTCAAGTCTATTTTTCCACATAAACTGACACTAAGGTGGTAATAATTTTTTTTTTCCATAAGGCCCTACTTTACAAATTTTTTTTTTTTTCTCATTTGGTCAATAATTTAAAACAGGGTTAGTTTAAGGTTATTACATATAAAAAAAAACGTCTACTTAATTGGTAGTCTGGCTTCCAAACATTGATTTTAAGCCAATATTTCGCATAGATCAATTGGTCATTTAATGACAGATGCTCCTGATCTCATCTCATTATTTGCTTTAAGCACTTCTCACCAAAGAATACATTTCTTCTACTCCAACATGTCCACCAGCTTATCATCACTTACCAACTATGTATCATCTATTAGTACAATTATTACTGAAATGACCATCAATTACACACCCTCTGCTTGATCTCTACTGACTGGATGACGCTGATGGCGATGTTGACATAGTGGTGAGTCCACAACTACAGTAGCTAATTAAACTAATTAAACTGGGATATCACTGAAGACTCCACTGTAGATATTAAGGTCAAACTTCTGTTTACATTGATTGTAATTTGAATGATTATGACTAAAAACACAGAGATCAGTTTGACAGAAAATATTTAAGCTGCTGATACTGACTGCTAACTGACCGGACTGGCTGCTTGGAGGAAAAAATTTTCCTGTCAAGGCATCCAGCCGATTAGCTTTCCTTTAAAACAGTTAAAAGTTAAAGTCATGGCATCAGTGTGCCACAAACTCGCAGAAACTGGCTTTGCAGTGAAGTTTGAGAGAAACCAAGCAGAGACTGACTAATTAGAGTTGGGGATTGGTGTAGGTCTGGATTGAAATCACTGTTTACAGATTTGGTGAACAGTAGCAAGCAATAAGATGGTGTTGTTTATCAGAAACCTGGTCTGCAAGCAATTTCTGTAAGGACCATAGTTACAGTAGGTGCAGTTGACCTTTGACCCTGCAATAAACTCGATGAATGGAAATTAAGCCAACAGAGGAAGTAAACAAAGATGCTCCATAAGTAGTGTATCATACATTTATCCTCCCACCTAT